TAACTTTTCAAAGTTTGGTATCATTTCAGATTTGCTTTGATCTTGGTTTCGCGGTGGTATATTGCCTACCCTATCGACAATTGCGCGTATAATTCGAACGACATCGCCATCAGACACTCCATCACCATTATCGTTGTTATTATTTCTTGTTCGTCCAGCCATTCTGCATGATGAAATTGTTGGTAATTTGTGACTTATGTATTTATTTATTATTATCATTATTATTATATATATATATATATATATATGCAAAGACAGTAATTAAGTATTTCATAAAAGGAACTTCATTCATTAGATAGAACAAGTTACAAAACAGCAAAATAAAAAAAATAAAAATAAAATACTACGGGCTAATATAAGATAAAAGATAGCCCCTACAAGTCAGGATTAAAAGGGATATTAGTTAGAGTTACCTATACTAATAACTTTAAACTAGGCAATTTTTACACTGTAAGCTTACAAAACAATTAGTTAGCCTAGTTTGTAACTCCCTTAAGACCTCTAACCAAATAGCCATGGATAGTTCCTCCTCACAAGGACTTCTTACTCCTACATGGCTTGGAAAAGCCCTATGAATCGCCACAGAACCCTCACAAAAACAACAGTTTCATGCACAAAATGTCCCAATAACTGCACCGATTTCTATCCTAATAAATTCTCCAATCTTTGAAATCCACTGATCCATCTGTCTTCACAATTTGATTTGGGTCGGGTATGACATACTGAAAGCTCCAAATATCAAAAAGGTTGCCCATTCTATCGGTAAAGCCATCCGAGAAAAGGCCTAACTGACACAATTAGGGATTTTCTTGCCTTAAAATCTGGACAAGTCCAATATAAGCACCTACCCAACTTTCAGACTTCCAAGCACAGCTTCCTAAGGGATAAATTCTAACATACACAAATGAGCCAATTTGCAACCCATTTTGAACATTCCAATTTTCAAATACAACCCATATATCTCCAATACTTTCGTCAGGATTACCCTCTACGGGTTCCTCCTCGGTGCCAGACTCAATCACAATCACCTCCATTGGGTCATACATAGACGTATTTTGTTCAGGTTCAGACTCAGGCTCATAGTCTTTTATAGGTGACTCCACTTCTTCACTCGGGTCAAACTCTATTTTATAACTTCCCACCGAATCTTCCTCATGAAAGTTAACATTCTACGATCCTGGCATCCTACAATTAAAAAGGTTCTAATTAACTTAATTATGTCACAGAAAATTACAAGGTAATGCAAGGTTTTCTTAAACGTAAAATATATATATATATATATAACTGCTACCCATGGCCCAAAAGTTTGAATCTAAGCTCTGATACTAAATTGTAACGCCCCAAGCATCATGAGAATTTAAATAACAAAATAACTTATTAAATTAAATTATAAAAATAAAAAAAATCAGATTTTCAGTGGCAGTGTTGAGTGACACTTGTGTGCATGCATGTTATTGTAGGATATAGGCTCTCATTATATCTCTTGGGTTTAGAAAATTCGATGAGACTAAATAGAATGATTAGGAGAGAGAGAGAGAGAGAACCCCGGGTGGGGAGTCCCTATTTATACATACATACAGTTTACATTTCCTCCTCCAACTGATCGGAGGGAATTCTGTGAGCAAGCTAAGCTAAGTAAGGAGAAGAAGAAGAGTAGAAGATTAAAGAAGATATAACTTTTCCTACCATTTCATTAAGCCATTTCAATCTTGTTACTAAGTAAGAAAATTCTCTCAACCCTCTCATTCTTTTTAATTGTTAAAATTTCATATTTGTGTTCATAACTAAAATTTTAGATAAAATCTTGTTTATAGTTGTATGCAAATTTGTGATTTGTATATGAAATATTTGAATGTTATTTTTATATCAGTAGCCTTAAAATCAAGATATAATTGTGGAATTAGACTTGCATGTGTAATTTATGACATTAAAATTGTGATGCCCCAAACATCATGAGACTTGAAATAACAAAATAACTTATTAAATTAAAAATTTAACATCTTAATAAGAAAATTTTAAGTGCTCACACAGTCGAAAGTTTAACAACACAAAATATATATATATATTAAAAGTCCACATCCAACATTAAACAATATTATAATATCCTTAATCACTAATACATAAGATAGCAAAATTTTATGTTGCTAAAGTCATGATTTTAAGTTAGCCATAATTCTATATTAGCAGCAGCTCCACTTTCAGCTTTCATTCCTTCCTCGTCAAAATCTGGTATAAAACGCCAGGGCAACAAAAATATATGCCATGAGTTTTGCAACACAACAAGAAAACATAACCAACCTACCATTCTTTTTAAAATAAAATAATTCGATTAGTAATCATGACAATTAAGAGAAAATGACAGAATTAATAGCATGATAATATAACAATCATTAAAATAATTTCAATAATTTTAATAATTTCGGTGACACTCAAAATCTCACCAAAGAAATTTTCTTGCCAACCATTAAGTTATGGCCATAGTTAATTTGTAACCCCCCCTGGTCAAATATTTAAGAATTACCAAGGATGCTCACACCCTAGAGTTATATCCCCAAGTCGTGGCATCCGTGGTCTGCCCCAAGGGAATGTTCTACCAAGGGTATGTAACCTCCCTGCGTGCCACCCGCACATCCATTCTTATTCCAAAACCAAATACCGAAAAAAGGGTTCAAATAAGTCACGTGTCATCTTAGGGTTTTCGCGACACAATTATGTAAAAATTATCAAAAACCAGGGCACACCCTGAATTACTGATATTAACCATCAATCATTAATTCTGTACATGTCATTAATCATCTATGTTAGTTTTTGCTTTAATGATAAATAATTAAAAAATTTCACCCACCGTAAGTGTTATACTATTTCATTAAAATTTCCAACATAAATATTACACATATGTTATACAATAATCAATCAATGTACAAAATTATAATAAACAGTTAAATTAAACCATAATATGAATGATAATTTTTTAAATACTTAAAAATGTACCATAATCACACACATGCATGGACTACTAATTTATAAGATTTAATTAATTAAACCAGCACAATATATAATTTTAGTCCAAATAAATAATTGAAATAATAATCTTGGCTCCTTCTCAATTTGTCCAGAAATTTTCAGAATATACTTTTCGTAATTAAAATTATAAATAAATTATTTATACAATTCTAAAATTCATGAAAATCTATAGAATATTCAATAAACATGTTATGGTCATTTTCCAGAAAGAATTTCCCAAAAAAAGTTATAAATAATTTTGTAAAATTCCAAGAAATTTTATGATACAAATTTATCACATTTTCTTAAATTAATTCCACACTTAAATTTATAAATCAATTCGTTAATCTAAAAATTTATAATGAAACTAGACTTCTCAAATTTAATTTTTTTATTTATAAATTACCAGATTTGGTTTAATATAGGATTTTTAATGATTTTTCAGTAAAATTTGTCTACAGTTCGAGATTTAACTAAAATTTTGTATAAATTCGTACAAAGTTAGAATAATTGTTACAAAAATTCCTAGATGAACTAGACATTATTGTTAACAACTTTGTAGAAGAAATCATCTCAAAATTTTGAATATAAAATTATCTAAAAATTTGTACAATATTTTGACAAATTTAAGAGTCGTATAATTAGACCAAATAAAATCTTCAATCATCTCTTTAATAGCATAAACTACACATGTAAGTCTAATTCCACAATTATATCTTGATTTTAAGGCTACTAATATAAAAATAGCATTCAAATATTTAATATTCAAATCACAAATTTGCATATAACTATAAACAAGATTTTATCTAAAATTTTAGCTATGTACACAAATTTGAAATTTTAACAATTAAAAAGAATAAGAGGGTTGAAATGATTTTCTTACTTAGTAATAAGATTGAAATGGGTTAATGAAATGGTAGAAAAAATTATATCTTTCTTAATCTTCTACTTTTCTTCTTCTCCCTATTTAGCTTAGCTTGCTCACATAATTCCCTCCTATCAGTTTGAGGAGTAAGTGTAAACGGTATGTATGTACAAATAGAGACTCCTCACCTGAGGGGCTCTCTCTCTCTTAGTCATTCTATTTAGTCCCATCGAATTTTCTAAACTCCAGAGATATAATAAGAGCTTATATCCTACAATAACACGCATGCATACAAGTGTCACCCAACACTGCCATTGAAAATCTGAAATTTTTTATTTTGGGGGGGGTTGTATTTGTGTGGATTTCTTAAAATTAATTAACTATGGTTTTTAACTAAGGCATTTAGTAAGGATAATTATTATGTGAATCCTTATTAAAATAAATTATAAACAATAAATATTGAATACCCACAAAATTATTATTCTTAACAATGTTTTTGTTATGGATTAATTTAAACTAACTTATACACTAATATATATATATATATTAGATAGACTCTGAATAAAATTTATTTATTTATTTATTTTGTTCTAAGAATATTTAAATGCAGGTTCTCACAATAAATTTGTTTTTAAAAATAAACGAGTTAATTATACTTCTTTTCACTAATGTAGTTTGACTCAAATTTTACTTTAATCCTTATAGTTTCAATTTAAATAATTTAGTCTATAATTTAAATCTAGTTTCAATTTGATTATTCCGTCTAAATTAGAGATTAAAATTAATAATTTTGAAATACTTGTTAATTTTCTAATGTGTGCATGTAAATAAAATAAACAAAAATTTAGACAAAATGACCAAATTGAAGCTAGACTTAAAGTCTATGGACCAATTTGTTCAAAATTCAAATTGAAACTATAAAAATTAATATAAAATTTGAGTCAAACTAAAGGAGTAAAAAGTGTATTTAATCCTAGTTTGAATGGTTTTTCATGTTAATTTCTTTAACTGTATTAATATTTCCTAGTCCTAGTAGGAAACAGAGACTTACAATCAACAAACACACAGAAGTAGGAAGTCTCCATATTCTGTAATGGGAAGGATTCCAATTTATTTCCACCTCTAACCTAACTTGGAGAGAAAGCTTACTATATCTATCTCTATATATACATCCTCAAACCCCTCTCCATCTTTCTTGTGCTTTTTCTATCTAGCAGTAATAGCAATAACAGTCAAGTTTATAACTAGACTAGACAGATAGAGTAGACTCTAGTTTCATCATACACTCTTAATTACAATGTCGTCTTTGGAGACGAAGAACAAGAAGATGCTGATACTGAGAAGCTCTGATGGAGAGGAGTTTGCCATACAAGAAAACATCGCTGTGAAGTCTACAACCATCAAGAACATGGTCGAAGGTGGTTGTGTTTCGAATGTTATTCCCGTGCCTAATGTGGACGCTAAGACGTTGGCAATGGTAATTGAATACTGCAAGAAGCATGCTGAAACAGACGCTGAAGAAGCAACCAGTGAGCTAAAAAAGTTTAACTCGGAGTTTTTGGACAATGGACAACAAGTTCTCTACGATCTGATAATGGCGGCGAACTTTCTGGATGTGAAGGAGTTGCTGGAAGCAGTATGCCAGAAGGTGGCCGACATGATCAAAGGAAAGACGCCTGACCAGATTCGCAAAATTTTCAACATCAAGAACGACTTCACCCCCGAAGAAGAAGAGGAAAATCGCAAGGAGAATTCATGGGCTTTCGAGTGATCAATGATGATGACTTCAATCTTTTTTGCTTAATTCCTTCTCGGTTCATACTCAGTTTAGCAATTGTTTTGTTTAGATTTTGAATTTGGTTAATCTTAGATTCTGAGTTAAGTTTTTTTTATTTTTTTATTTTTTGGGTTAATTCTACCTTCTTTTTCAAGCTTTCAATTAGTTTTGTTTAGATTTTGAATTTAGTTAAGTCTCGGATTCTGAATTGGGTTTTTATTATTATTATTTTACTTTATTTTCAAGTTATGAATTTGGTCATTGATAAAGTTTTGAGTTACTGAACTCTAAAATTCCCTCGGATTCATGAATAATACTCTTAGGCCTAGTTTGGAAAGACTAAATAAGTATACTTTTTGACTTTTTATGAAATATGGGTTGGGTTTTTATGAAATATGGGCTGAGTTTGGGTTGGGTTTGAAAGAAAGACTAAATAAGTATACTTTTTGACTTTTTATGAAATATGGATTGGGTTTTTATGAAATATGGGCTGGGTTTGGGTTGGGTTTGAAAGAAAGACTAAATAAGTATACTTTTTGACTTTTTATGAAATATGGGTTGGGTTTTTATGAAATATGGGCTGGGTTTGGGTTGGGTTTGAAAGAAAGACTAAATAAGTATACTTTTTGACTTTTTATGAAATATGGGATTTTGAATTTGGTTAATCTTAGATTCTGAATTAAGTTTTTTTTATTTTTTTATTTTTTGGGTTAATTCTACCTTCTTTTTCAAGCTTTCAATTAGTTTTGTTTAGATTTTGAATTTAGTTAAGTCTCGGATTCTGAATTGGGTTTTTATTATTATTATTTTACTTTATTTTCAAGTTATGAATTTGGTCATTGATAAAGTTTTGAGTTACTGAACTCTAAAATTCCCTCGGATTCATGAATAATACTCTTAGGCTTAGTTTGGGAAGACTAAATAAGTATACTTTTTGACTTTTTATAAAATATGGGTTGGGTTTGAAGTGATGTGTTAGAGAGGTGATGTGACTTAAATAAGATGGTATAACTTAAATGGACGCGGGATCCCTGCAGTGGGTTATCCCCTGCTGTGCTTGCTGTCCCTAAAACAACATTGTTTTATCTTCTTCTTTTTTTCTTTTTTTTTTCATGTTCTGACTTTATTTTTTTGGCATGATAAATTACATTTTGCTCTAAATCTTAAATTCTAGAATAAAAATAAATAAATTTTAAGAATTAAACCCCAAACCCTAAACTCTAAAATAATAATAAAAAAATTTATCCCTAAACCCTAAAATAAAATAAAAAATAAAATTTAAAAATTAAACCCTGAACCCTAAACCTTAAACCCTAAAATAAAAATAAAAAAATTTAAGAATTAAATCCTAAACCATAGATCCTAAACCCTAAAATAAAAAATAAATTTTAAAAATTAAACCCTAAAACCTAAACCCTAAAATAATAAAAAAAATTAAGAATTAAACCCTAAATCCTAAACCCTAAAATAAAAAAATAAATTTTATCCCTAAATCATAAAATAAAATAAAAATAAATTTTAAGAACTAAATTCTAAATCCTAAACTTTAAAATAAATAAAAATAATAAATTTTAAGAATTAAAGTAAAAAAGTGACCAACCAAAAAAAAAAAGAAAAAAAAGAAGCAAATACACACAAAACGCCACCATTTCATTCCACAGCAGGAACAGCAGTGAGGGGCTCACGGCAGTGACCCCTCATCCGACTTAAATAGGATAGTGACTTTTTGTCTTTTTTCAATCATGTCAAACTTGACCTTAATACGAAAATAATAATAATAATGAATGATTGAGAAGATTGTGTATATTTTCTATATATACTACCCTGAGGAGAGCGATGAGTGACAAATCCATAAACAGTTTTTCACAAAGAGATTATTACCAATGAAAAAAATAAGAAAAAATAATTCTAAGAGATGAAAATAGAAAATAAACTACATCCAAGTAAATTTTCGAATTGAACCTAATAATTTCTACCATCCATTGCATCTAGGGTTTCATTATTCATATACATAGGGACATATTTTTAGGGTTGTCCACGTAACCTAGATTGTTGTTAACTGAGGTTCCCATATGTTGTTAGCTGAGGTGCCACATGGGAATCTAGGGATGCCGAGATATGATGCGATCATATTGGAATCCGAAATATTCGGATAGAGGACAAGAGTCCTAAATAGTTTGAGACTCTCTATTTAGATAGAGATGAAACTCTTAAGAAGAGAGTTCATTCATATTCAGATGTTATGAGAGATAGAATCCTGTTAAGTGATACTTCAAGAGTGGATCTAAGGTACGTTTATTATTGTGAATTGAATACTCAAGTTAATATCTTATGAGATAAATTGATTGACTTCAGAGTGCCCCAAGTGGACGATTCACCATAATGTTACTTATCTTCTTGTGTGCAGGTGTTGGACTTAATATACTCTACAGCTAAGTTCTTAGGATCAGGGCAAATAGGCCTAATTTGGTTATGAGGTCAAAAATCAACAACTACAATATACATATATTATTTTATTTCGCATAACAAATAGTATTGGTAATACAAATCCGAACAAGGTTCAAGTAGTCTTCAAAATAACACGATGAACAGTAGGAAAGAGACTAAAACACTATACAGTGACCAAAAAAACTAGAGAAAAAACGAAGATGGAGCCAAAAGTGAGCAAATTGATATTACTGAAGTCCAATGATAATCTTCAAGAAAGGTAAAGCACTTAAATTAAAAATTAAATATCAAATCCACATCATTTTTTTTTTTTTCTGAGATATCAAATCCACCTGATTTTAAAACATATATTTCAAACCTAAGCAATTTTGAACACATATTTTTCAAATTTATTTTGTGACATCATGTTTTGAAAAAATAACTTCAATTAACTTACTATAAAGCTCTTTAAAATCAAAACCATGGTTTTTTTTTTATATTTTTATTATTATTATTAAACGGAAATAAAAAACCATGTTATGAAAACACAACTCCACTTCAATTAACTTATGTTGTGTTTGGTTGAGAGATTTGAAAAAGATTTGGAAAGGGAAAGTAAAAAGGTATGTGAAGCTATGTGAAATGTATGTATATTTTATTCATATTTCACCTACATTTTTCCTTTCTTTTTATAAATCCTTTTCCAAATCTCCCAACTAGACACAAGGTTACTGTGTTTGGAAACAAATTCAGAACAACTTGTATTTGGAAAATAATTTTTTCAAAAAACTCAGGTTTGGTAAATAACTCCAAGTTATATCTCCAAATATATCTAAACAGCATCTATACACCAACAAAGCTATGTTTTAACAACTTATTTCTAGATCATGAAATGGAATATAAGCAATGAAAGCTCCAAAGATTGCACATAATCAAAAACTTGAAATACTCAAATTAAAGGGAAAAACACACACATAAAGAAATAACACAAGAAATGACAACTTCAAAATTCAAAATTGCAGCTAGTTGCGATAGAGTAGCTGTAGCTCTTGTAAAGCGAAATTTTCAATATTTCACTCTGTTTTTCCAAATTTCCCATTTCCATAGCACGGGATAATATTAAGAAAAGGAGACAAATTGCGAATAGAATTCAGAACCTCTAACCATCCCTTAAATTTATTTTAAAATGTAAAAAATAAAAATAAAATAAAGGTTTCTAGAGAAATGACCCGTTGGTGAATGCAAAAGCAAGGCAATAAACAGCACCCCCCTCATCACAGACTTTCCAGGCAATGGCTTTTTCATACGAAACATGGCGCCCCATCAGTGACACGCAGGTTACATTTGATAAAAGAACAAAACCCTGCAAAGTAGCATTTGTATGAGCCACACAATTAACCTATGTGTATATATACCAAAGTTTTTAAAGGCGAATGCGTAATGTGAGGCGTTTTACCTCTCATGAGACGAGGCGTAAACCTTAAGGCATTGAGACGTAAGCATTTCAAATTCCGAGTTTTTATATTTAGTAAACATTTTAAAACAATAAATAAATACATCAAAAATAAATATAAATGTGTAAATACTTTTATGCTTAAGTCTCACTGCAGAAAAGGAAGCTTTGTTTTATTAAAAGTGAAATTGGTATTCTTAGCTTTAGTGATTGGGCTTCTCATTGAGCATTAACTTTGTATTTTTTCTTGATTGGTCATTTACTTAATTTTTTTTATAGAATATAGTTGTAAAATGGGTTCGAATTTATTTTTTATTTTTTATTTTTTATGTTTAAACCATCTACTAGAGTAAGTTTAACAAGACCCTAAGACAAACTTTTCATATGCGTACTCCTCATACGCTTACGCATAAAAGGTGTACAAAACGCACCTAAGGCCATGTCTTAGACTATGAACACAAGCCTTTGGGGAGTAAGGCCTAAAAATCAAAACCTTGAGGCATTTTGTATATAGGGGTGAACATTGAGGTGAGCCTCAATAAAGCCTTTTAAAACTTTGATATATACAAATAATTCCTTTGTAATAAGAAGCAGAAATTGGATATATCTCTATATATATATGCAAACTACCTGGTGCATTATCTTGGGAATAATAGAAGACAGTGCCTCCAGACCCGGCTTGTCGAATATCTGATGTAATGTGGTGTCCTGCAAAGCTACTAGTGTGGTCTCTAGCATATCAAGTGCTGCTCCATTGGCAAATAAACAAATCGGAAGGGACTGCAAGAGCCAAACAACCAGGCACCAGTTAAATTTGTTGATATGTTTCAGATTGTTTAGCTTGTGACAACTAACAAATCTATTTCAAACTTGCAGCAACAGGATTAATATCATATAGAAATGAGCAATTCATCCTGAATTTAGTGTGAGTTTCCCTAGACAGGGTGTAGCCAGAAAATTTGTTTAATGGTGTCATTTAGTTATATCATCAATATCATTACTTCATATTTTTAGTTCTACAAAACTTTATCAAATAAATTTTGACATAATATACTATAATAACTGTATTATTATATGTTTCTCAATAATAACACCACAAAAGTAATTCGAACTTGTTGAATTTCATATACAGTAAAACTTAGGAACTTTGATATACTATTGCTTCAGCAAAATAAAAGAGAGCGAGACTGCAATTTTTAGTTGATCAAACATAAAGAGTAAGAGAAGAGACAAAAAGAGTTCACATTGAAAAAAAAAAAAAAAAGACTTCTAATCACTTACGGATCTTGTTTTTAGAAAGAATGGTGACTCTAAACTAATGCTCTACTTGGCTCATTGAAATGAGATGGAATGGAATGGAATCATTATTTCTTAGCCTTTCTTATGGAATGATCATTCCATTAACATAGTGAAAGATGATTCTATTTGTAATGCATTTGTCATTATATTTTTAATCTAACCAAACATAGGAATAAAAATTTTGATGGAATGATTATTCCATTCCAGTTCATTCCAATGAACCAAACACTACCTAAGTTCTACTTTTTGTATCAAAAAAAATACATCGTCATGCTTATTTTTCAACTATTTCAGTGATGTCAATTTTTAAAAACCTCCCAAAAATTTTACATAATACCATATAATGATATAATCCTTAAAAAAAATTCAAAGTTTAGTCAGTTCAATATTAATGCTCTCTCTTTCTAGGAAGAATAAGTCTAGGAACACATAAACTGATCACAAAATTGGATACAAAATGTATATAAATGGACAAGATTTGTCAAAAGTGGGTCTTACCAACAAATTCTGTAAAATCTTATCCATTCATATGTATTTTGTGTTCCATTCTATATTTGGATTTTGTGTTCGTTGCAAAATTGTTTTTAAAAAATTAACTCTCCTTCCTCTAACCATTCCCGTGATATATCATACAGATGCAAAAGCCACTATATGTGGAAATCCATGAGTTCAGTGTCCATGGAGTAAGCTAAAACTATGAGTTGCGCAGACACAAGACTAAAAAAAATTACAAACTCGTATGTAACATAAAAATTTCATTCTCCCTTCAGCATGGCAGATAGGTATACCCATCCTCGAAAGAGCATTATAGGTTTGATAGGTACAATACATTCAGTAGAAGATTTCTGTTTTGCCAGAGATCACAACAATACCTTGACTGAGCAACATATTATGGCAACCCGATGATACCAGAATTGCTTCAACACTGAATCACCGCTCTGGCAACTGGACCTCAGCAACTCAGCACCAAAACTCGAACTGGTGGGAAAAAACAAAAGAATGTGAATCTCAGATGCTGAATAAAGTTGCTAAAACTTTTGCAAGGCAACGGGAATTTAGGTTGCATTTGGATTATGGATTTGAAATGAATAGATTTGACAGCACTAATTTAAGAAGTACAACCTTCAATTCAATGCAATATTTTAAATAAGAATGGATTTGATAGTTTTATATTGCTGGCTTTGAAATAACTTGGTGAAAACAGTTATTTGAAATCCTTAAAGAAATTATTCTACTTGTACTATAATCTTAACAAAATACACATCTCATACCTCTATTCAATCATCTACTTTAGGATTATCAATCTACCTTCAATAGCAAACCTTCTTAAAAAATTTATAAAATTTAACCTCAAATCCGCTTTTTAAATCCATTCATCCAAATAAAGCCTTAATCTCAAATTGGTATGACCAGGTGCCAGTGAAAGATATAAAAGACTTTGTACACAGCACTTCACTAGGAAGTTAATGGTTCGAATATCCCTACCTACGTACATGTGTGTCTTCTCTCTTGAATTTGGAAGACATATTCCAAATTCCAACGAATCAGAAAAAAAAATACATTGGAGGCTTTGTAATTAGACAAATCAGAACACAATTGAACAGGTTTATTACATGACATTCATTTGACGGGTATGAATCTCTGCATGTGCATTCAAGTTACAAGACAATTTATCAACAAAAAAAAAAAAAAAGTATTCAAGTTACAAGACAATCTAAACTGCTGCCCCCACAACCCCATTAAATCACACTAATCAAATTTTTGACTGCATCAATGAATCTTGAAACAAGACATGCCCCAGAGTAAACAAACAAAAAATGGTTGGAAGGCAGTGAATTCCTAGAGCTCCCCATAACAGATCTCTAAAAGAAAATGTTTTATTTTAATTAAAAGCACTTTTTGTTTCCGCTTCTTGGGATTTTTCATAATAAGCAAGTTTTTATCTATTTTGGGATTTTTCATAATCACTTTATTCCTATGGTTGGCGATAATCAATGGCGTCAAAAATTCCAGTTTTCATTAATAAGCTCTGATTTTGAATTTACAATATGCATGAACTTTGAACTTGCCTGTAACTATGGCAGATCCAGTTTGCGAGGGTGACAGCTTCTGGAGAGGCCGCAGTTAGCCTGAGCCCCACATGGGGGATCAATCCAGGTGATTGTATCGCCCAAGCAACCCTTTGCACAGAGGAAATCACTTTCACGATATATTCTCTGGCCATAGTTGCAACTTCCTCCAGAAGATGGTTCTCAAAAGGGAACTGAAAGGCAACAATCAACACTGACTTTGAATCATTTGACGAAGATGAGCTTCCAGCTTCATGACTTGTTACTTTGAGATTGGATAGTAGATTTGTTATCCGTTGGGGACTCATCATGTCCAGCCTATGACACTGTAATGATAACAATTAGAACATGGAGCAAAGAATAGCTATACAGGATTTTGACATTGACTAAAGCATCAGTTAGCATTCTTAATCATCCAGTTGTTTTCAAGACATAGCACTTCACATCATACTAAGCAAGCAATTCATCTGTAAGTTTAACTTAAAGAACAGGACTATCAAGTGACTCAGCAACCCATAAGGTAGAATTTGGAGTTTGTTAATTCCTATGAAGCACGGACACGCGACACGCAACACGACACGGACACGCCGACACGCAAATTTTCAAAAAATGGGGGGCACGACACGCTGGGGACACGTTCAATATATATAATTAATTTTATTTATTATATGTCATAAAATTATTAAAAACTAATTAAAAAAACATTGAAATAATATAAAATTGCATTCCATCAATACATAACATGTCATTCGAAGCTACCAACCATCATTTGTTACAAAATGTATGAAAATCAAACCACAAAATATAAAATTATCCAATGTACCAACAACTATCATCTATTACAAAATCCATAAATATCAGAAAATGTGAATTTAAGTAGAGGAAACTATTACAACATCTTCACCACCACCTCCATCTTCTCCTTCATCTGTAAATAGGACCGCCTCCATAGCCGGTTCATCAAGTGAGAGGTTAGCTATCCCAAGCATTCCAATATCATCAAGTGAGTCAAAGTTATCTCCAGCAATGTCCCACATTTTTGTCTCTCCTTGCAAGTATTGGGAGCTCCTCCTTGATAAAAGACGAAGATTGCTATGAATGAACACCAAGTCCTCCGCTCTTTGAGGGACCATTTTGTTCCTTCTCACTGAGTGAATAAAGGAGTAAGTACTCCAATTTCTCTCACAACAAGATGAAGAGGCGGGTTGCACAAGTAATCTCAAAGCTAGTTTTTGAAGAGATGGTGCATATGCACCATATGCACACCACCAAGTATAAGGGTCCATGTGCCACCTATTATGAATAGAATCATACTCCGAGAATGCTTCAACATAACCCGAAAATTTTCCAAACTCAGAGAGAGAGAGAGAGAAACATCGACTGACGAACGAAGACCAGAAGAAAAAGGAAGAAGACCGAAGCCGAGGAAGGAAGAAGAAGGTGTACCTTACGAGCGACGAGCGACGGCCGAGGAGTGACGGCCGAGGAGCGACGGACAAGCGACCAGGTTCTCTTTCTCCTCTGTTATCTTCGCCGTCTCTCTTTCTCTTTTTGTTCTCTGCTAAGCTCTTTGATCGATTTAGGGCTTTTGATCGATTTAGGGTAAACAGATGTTATTTTTGTTTTTTCACAGATTGACCCCAAAAATATTTTGTAAATTCTGAAATTGACCCTAAAAATGTTTTGTAAATTCTGAAATTGACCCCATGCATGTCCTGAAAGTGTCCATAACGTGTCCTGGACGTGTCCGGCTTCAAAAAAAAAAAAAAAAATTGGACACTCTCTAGTGCGTGTCGGACACGTGTCCACCTGTGTCCGACACTGGTACGGAGCCCTCGGAGAGGTGTCCGTGCTTCATAGGTTAATTCCAAGTCAAACAGTGGTAGAGAGTATAAGACACCCTACAAGCCAGTGAGCTCAAGAGTCAAAGGTGGATTGGCAAATGTGGAAAATGAAAGACAATGGCACTTTTCCTTGCCAATCTTTGTTTTACCACTCTCAAGCCAATGTTGCCGTTCGACTTATAACATGATTCGGGGTGAGAACAAAACTTCGGCAGGCACAAACAGCATAATTCTGGGCAATATTGTTCGGCTATATATGGAAGGTCTTGAAGAGTATATGTGAGGCTACTGAAATAACAGTGTTAAGAGAGTGTGGCCTTTTAACAGAACAAGCCTCCTCCATGTTCAATAAACAACAATAAACCTGGTGGCACCATTACCTTTCATTTTTTTGATATGTAAACTTATCTAAAACAAATTATTCATATTTTAGATGTGTGGTTGGCCATCCATCAGACCAGTTAAGCACAGCTCTGACTTGGCCAATCAGTTCCAGGATGACATATATCTTTTTGGAATACCGGCATAATTAACATCAACATGAAAGCATATCAATTACATGAAAGCCAAAACTTCCAAAAATTCCATGAGAAAGAGCAAGTCAATAAAGGAATGGAGTTGATCTAAACCTTGCATCATTCAACTACATTGCAGATAAAACTTCAAAAGGAGAATAGTCAAACTCAACTGTTGTAGAATCCAATGGTAACACCCGAAACCCAGAGGATAGCAGTGGAGCATCATCTCGGAGCATTGAATTAATTGGAGCAAAAATTAATTCTGAACAGGCTCCAATGGCATTATCTTCGACTCCATTACAAATCTGCATCTCAGTCAAATAGAAAGATGTGATTTATTGAGTACAAAAAGAAGAGTTGTCACTTATTGGAAATTTGTGTGCTCTCAAATTAAGAAATTCTAGTCACCCTCCATCCTTTTCTCCAGACCTCCTAACAAATCAAATTATCTTGATGTCTCAAGATTTATGCTTTAAAGGGCAATACCAAGCTAGAAAGGATAGTAGGTGTAGACACAAATTTTGAAGCATGAAGTGTTTCAACACATTTCAAAATTCATGTTACAAATGTCCACTATTTAGTTTTTGGACTAAGCAGTGTTGATTATTTGAATAGCAGATTCCTATTTCCAATCTGCATTCCAGATAGTTAATTACACATTTTATTTAAATGAAACCTCCGACTAATGAAGAACAAAAAAATGAACAAAAGACAAATTAAGGAAAATAAATATTTTATTGAAATTGTAGGGATTTAGAACCCTTAGATACAAAATACAATAGTTGGGTTTAGAACCCTTTACCTAGCGCTCGCCATCGTATCAAATGCTTGCAATGTAGTGTAAGCTTTCAACTTCTTGTAAAGACTTCTCTCTCTTTCTCTCTCTCATTTCTGATTTTCGATCCTTTTTTGTGTATCCCTCATATTTATATAGGGCCATCCAGGTGATAAGAGAGCCTCATCCTCAATTTGAATTTCAAATTGAATGATAACGCCATTTGAATTTTGAATGATAGCGCCGTTTGAATAAACGGCGTAATCATATCTGATTAATCATCTATCTGATTAACCGTATTTAAAATTTAAACATAAATATGGTTGAAATTTATGTGCCAACAAATTCCCTCTCGTGACTTGCACAAGTGAATTTTTTAACTGTGCGAATCACAACAATTTGGCATTGCTGATCCCATTCAAATGGAACATCCTTTTTCATCACTCTTGAGAATGGCAAGCATCAACCCGCCAAGTTAGAAATAAATCTTCTGATATAAGCCAATCTTCCTTATAGACCCTTCAATTCCCTTAAATTTTGCGGAGGAGGCATTTCAGCAATGGCTTTAATCTTGGTAGGGTCGATTTCAATCCCTTTGTTTCGGACCACAAACCCTAGAAATTTCCCTGATGAAACTCCAAATGCACATTTTAGTGGGTTCATCTTGAGCTTGTATCTCCTCAAACGTTCGAAGATTCTTCTCAAATCTTCCACATAGTTTTCCTTTTCCTTTGTCTTGACAACAAGATCATCAACATAACATTCAATGGTGTCATGGAGCATATTACTGAAAATTGCAGTCATTGCCCTTTGATAAGTAGCCCTAGCATTTTTTAGGTCAAAGGGCATTACCTTGTAGCAAAAGACTCCCCTTAGTGTCCTGAATGCAGTCATTTCCTCATCTTCAGGTGACATTCATATTTAATTATATCCTGAATACCCATCCATAAAAGACAAAGTTTCATACCCAGTAGTTGCATCTACAAGAAGTTCAGTGATGGCCAAGAGAAAGTCATCTTTAGGACAAGCCACGTTGAGATCACAGAAATCAATGCAAACCCTAATTTGACCATTCTTTTTCTTGTCTACCACTATGTTTGCTAGCCAGGTTGGATATTTGACTTCCTTGATGAATCCTACATTGATAAGCTTGTCGACTTCAGCTTCAATTTGGGCTGTAAGCTCTGGTCAACTTCACCTCTGAGGCTGTTTAACTAGCAGTTTCTCAGGGTGAATTGCAAGCTTATAGACTACAATCTTTGGATCAAGACCACACATTTCACTGTAGTTCCATGCGAATATGTCACAATACTCCCTTAAGAAGGAAATATGTTGTTGAGCCTCTTCTTCCTTTAAATTTGCACTAATGAAGGTTGGTTTATTTTCTTCTTCATCACCAAGATTTACCTCACAAAGGTCATCTACGGTGGCTTGGCCTCATGATTCAAATTCTGTTGGTGTAGGTTGAGCTTCATCTTCATCAACATCTTCCAACACTTCTTGAGTGGTTGTCATGTTTATCGAAAATTTTCCTTCATCCCTACGATAGCCTAACCCTTTTGTCCTGGTGACGATAGTACTGCCTTGCTGGATAGCTTGCCTCTGTGAAGGTGTCAATGCAGCGTCAAATGGTGTCATTGTTCTTGCTAGTAGTTTTTCAGGATCTAAACCAACCTTTACTAACATTTGCGTAATTTCTACACTAAAGGTAGGCTTCTCAAAACTCGAGATGTTTTCTTCTGACATTTGTTCAACTTTCACCTTCTGTTCAACATCTCCAAGCGAGTGAAATATGATAGGTTTCGACCCTTTTCCTTTAGGAGGGACCACAATCTTATTGTATTTCTCCACATATGTGCATTAGGTCCTCCTTAATGGCAACATGAACTCACCCTTTAGATCCAAAATTGGATTTATTGGGGTTAGATCCTTTGCCCCCGGTCTCCTTTCGGACTTTGGCATGTATCGAAAAGTTCTTTTTGTCGAAACTGGGGTAGATTCTAGAGTGTCTTCAAATTCTTTGACATCTGGAGTATCTTAAGACATTTTCACATCTTTTCCCTTTCTTTGTGTAGTCCTTGTATAGAAGCAAGCATCAGCATAACAGGCCTGAACTTCTCCAAATAGATCACTATTAACCACAATTGTCACCTCTTTTCTGGGTGAAGGCTGTTAACATATTATATTAGCCGAAAGAGTTGGCATATTATATTAGCCGAAAGATACACTAGGGTCTGTAATCATTGTGTGCCCTCAGGGATCACCTTGTAATTGTCTTTCTTGTAAACCCTAATCTTCATTTATAAATAGGGGGTGATATTCTATCATACCCCAAGCTGGTTACCCAAGCTTCAAAGGCAACAGGTACTTGATACATTGGTGAAAAGTTGATGGTACTGCATGATGATTATGCATACACAGTCGCCCAAGCAAAGCATTATAGAAGGTGTCTACATCAATAACCAAAAACTCAATGCTTTCTTCAATGTCCCCAAACTTGATTTGCAATTCAATCTTCTCCATTAGGTGTTGTTCATGCTGATTGAATCCTTGAATGACCAAACGACTTAGGTGAAGTAGTGAAAGTTGAATCCCTAATAGGTTTAAGGCCCTTCGAGGCAAAAGGTTTACAGCAGACCCTCCATCAACCATAATTCGAGAAATTATCACATCATGGATAAGGCCAGTAATAAACAAAGGGCGATTATGGTCCGTCATTTCAGCACACAAGTCATTGTCACCAAAGGTTACCATAGCCATGCATGTAGTTGTCCTCTCTCGATTTCCTTATGAAAGTCCTCTAGCTTGGATAGGGCATATATTAAAGACTTCCGAAGCTCTGGAGACATCTTCAATGCATCATATCCGCTCAACAATGCTGGAATTTTCTTGAGATGAGCTAATACATCATAGTTCACTTGCTCTTCCTCTGGCAAAACCTGTGGAACTTCTGACGCTTGAGAGTCCTGAGGATTTCGTGATTTCCTCCGGTAGGTCAAGTACATCTGGCATACTTCAGCAATAACCGTTTCATTGACCTCAACTTCTTTTGTTCCATCACTTATTTGGACCATGTTAATTGGTCTAGCTGCAGAGTGATCATCATCATCAGTCACTTCTCCATCTTCGTGGAACTACTTTCTTCTCTCATTTCTTGGATACTGAGAGTCATGCCTATAAAAACATTGGGATTCCACAAAACTGTTCTTCATGGCTTCCTAACTAGGCACAATAATCCCTTTTGAGGGAGCAATACCAATCAAAGGCGATCCCATACAAAGAAAGAGCGAATTGTCTTAGGCAAAGTGCTTGATTTTGAGCTATTTCCCCACACTATTTCAAAAAATGCCTGATATGTTTTTCAGGATCTCCATACCCCTCATATAGGACAAAATTTGGAAGTTCATATCCCTCGGGAAATGGTATTTGCTCTACCTAAGGGAACAAAGCCCTTGGGTGATAAGTGCCCATCTCTCAAAGATCAAGGGCAGTTTCAATCTTCTGCTTAATTGTACTTTCTATGAGATCGTATGTTTGAGCAGATATACCATCATCCTCCAAAGGTTCTGACCTCTCGATTTCTATTGGCTATGGTTTATAAAATGTCCTATAGAATCGATCAGTCATAGTGTCTCAATTAGGGATTAAATTAGGTGGCAGGCTGAAGTACCAATCTGTTGCCCACCCATCCAAAGAAAGGACGAACCGCCGCTTTTACTGTGTTCCACATTGTGCAAGAAAATGAACCAAATGGAGCCTTGGACAACCTATTCCATTATATAAAACAAAACAAGGTACTGTATATCCTCGTGGGAACTGGACCCATTCGACCCAATTAGGGAAAGGGTGTCCAGAAATTTGATTTCTTTCAATAATCAGATTTTGATGGGCTTTAAAATCCTTATCTTTTAAAGAAACTGTTACTTTTGCTTGATGTTCTGCTTCCCTTCTAGCTTCAATTCTTGCTTTCTCATCATCACCTAGATTGCGAATGATATATATTTCTCACTATTCAAAATTTACGTCCATAGTGATGACATTACAGGGAAAGTCAAAGTGGTCACTTGATACACTTTCTCCATCGTATGTGCTGGCCAGAGATGTGTATGGCTAACTATCAGAAGAAAAGTCAAGTTCTCAATCTTCGTTAGGATCATCTATTTGAGATGACTTTGCTTGTTCATTCGAATGCTTACATACTTCATCATCTGACCTACACTTGCCATTCACTTCATCATCTTCGAAGTGCAATCATTTTCTCGCCTTTTTCACAAGCTCAGAGTCAAACCTACACCCAGTATCTCCTTATTTTGTTCCCCTTACATATTCTAGAGTGTTTTGATAGTACATTGGTGATACTGGAGAATATTCTGGAGAAAAGGCTTCTGAAGAATATATTAGTGAAGCTGGTGTGTACTCCAAAGAAGCTGGCATATACTCTAGGGAGTCAGGTATACAAATAGGAGATGTGATACAATCTCCTTCTCAAACTTTTGAACAAACTTCATCCTCGTCTTCATCATCATCACT